TTTGAACTGAGCAGACTCCGATTTCTTTCAACGGTGCCACAGAGAACATCAGGCAGGAAATTTTAATGGCACATTGGCACAAATCAGTTTGAGAACCAAGAAGTTTTACTGCATTTTAAAATATTTTATAATTCCAGAAGTATTTTATTTTACAAAGAGTAAGCACGTGCTGAATGTAGTCCCCAACACACAGCACTGTACAGCAGCTATCACTGTTAAAGCATTAAAAGAAGTTAAAAAGAAACTCAGCTCATCATGGATTTTCTTTTTTTTTAATGCAATAACTGTTAGGGCAAACGTGCTGCACTCCTTTTCCTTGAAAGCTTTTGTTTTATATCCTTCCTCAGGTCTTCTGTCACAAAGCACTGACAGCCTTTGCCACTTTGACATGAGGACTGGTGACTACATTAAATTAAGCTGACTCTCTACACAAAAATACGAGGGCAAAGAAACCCCAGACACAAGACAAGAAATTGGCAGAGCAATCAAGAACAGCAGATCAGGGACATAACACAAACAAAGAATTTTACTTCTCTCCATTTCTGACACCCTAAGTCCACCTAGCACACATAGAGAAGCTCTGCTTCTGGGATTATTTTGATTCCTGGGCTTTGGAAGTCTGACACAAGCACCTCTCTCAGGCTTAAGAGTACCAGCTGCAGGATAAGACTTCGCCATTGAGATTAATGCCCATAAAAACAGCAGGCTGAGAAAGTCTTAACACTGCCCTGTTTAAGAAAGTATGAGTATTTCATTTAGAGAATTCAGGGGGTGTGGTACGTGTTTATAGATGCATGTACAGAATTGAAAACAGATTGTCCTAATGGATTCTTGGTATCTTTGACTCAGAGGTAGTGTGTCACAAGAAATTCTCTAAGACTACCTCCAGGAAAGGCTGAAGCAGGTCAATTAAGAGTCCTTTTCACTCAGCCCATGCAGTACTATCAGTTCTAAGCTGTCAATGGCCATTAAGAAATCAGTGAGGCATCCCGTGCTTACACGATTCACTGTGCTTACATGAACCAGGGTGGCAGACACACTAGAGTGCTCTGGCATCCACCTTAACAGCCTTAGAGCCACTTACTCAGCTGTCCGAAGAGATTTATGAACACAAAGATGGAGGCCAGGAAATAGCCACAGTTCCATGTGCCATCAATGTAATCCCTCTGTTCACTCCACTGGAACCACATGCGGATGCCATCCTCCAGGAAGGTGCTGATCAGGCACAGCCGGGCCACGTGAGGGAGGTACTGCTTCGTCACTCTCAGGAACTGCAGGGGCAGACAGCATCGTTAGCAGGGGAGGAAGGCAAGGGGATACTCCAGGCATAACAGATCCGTGCACTCCGCAGACTCTGAGGTCAGCAGTTCTCATGCACACAGGGTCATCAACATCTAGAGAGAACCACATGCTTGGGACTTGGATTTAAGGAAATTCTTCCCCACTCCAGTTTGAGAACACTTGGCAGCAGTGAGGGAAACCTCTTGTCATGCTCCACCCAAAGAGCATTTTGGACAAGGACTTGGAGAAAAGCAGAATCCAGCAGCACCCTTCTATGTAAGAAGAACTGTGTTTTGATGGAGCTCTTACTAGATGAAGGCTGACCTTGGTTTTAGTTTGTCTATCTCAGGGTTTCATGTTACAGCTCAACTATCAGATAGCCAGGAGCTGAAAGGGCAATCCTATTCCCACCCACATGCTCAGGCACTCAACACCCTGTAACAAACTGATTCAGGGAGTCAGGCTGACAGAAGACTAATTCTGTACAAATTAAAAAACAGTAATAAGCTTTCTGCCAAGCTAGTTCCCTCTAACAGCTCAGAAAAGCAACAGTGCAAAGCATGGGTTCTCGTGTAGCAGCAGCAGCCATTAGATCAGCATAGCTGTTGCATGAAATTGCACCCTCTATCCTCTGTGCAAGTAT